GGCCTCATTTCTCAAACCTATAGGGAACAGAGCCAAATTTATAAAAATAAAAGCCATTTCCCAAATGATTAATGGTCAAAGGATCTGAAAGGCAATTTTCAAAAGAAGAAATCAAAACTATCTACAGTCATATAAAAAATGCTCCAAATCACTAATAATTAGAGAAATACAAATTCAAACAACTCTGAGGTACCACCTCACATCCATCAGATTGGCTAACATGACAAAAAAGGAAAGTGGCAGATGCTAGAGGGGATGTGAGAAAATTTGGACCCTAATGCACAATTGGTGGAATCGTAAACTGATCCAAACATTCTGTAGAGCAGTTTGGAACTATGTCCAAAGGGCTAAGTGCATACACTTTGACCCTATAATACCCTACTAGGTCTGCATCCCAGAGAGATCAAAGAAAAAGGAAAAGGACCTAAATGCACAAAAAGATTTATAGCAGCTCTTTTTGTGGCAGCAAAGAATTAGAAACTGCAAGGAAGCTCGTCAATGGGACAATGACTGAACAAGTTGTGGTCTATGAATGTGATGGAATACTATTGTGCTCATAAAAAGTTATGAGGGATGGTTTCAGAAAAAATCTGTGAAGACTTATATAAACTGATGCAAAGTGAAGTAAGTAGAACTAAGAAAGCATTGTACATAATAACAGCAACATTGTAACAATAGTCAACTGTGAACAACTTAGCTACTGCCATCAATACAATGATCCAAGCCTATTCCAAAAGATTCGTGATGAAAAATGCTATCCACCTCCAGAGAGAGAACTCATGAAATCTAAGTGTGGATTGAAACATATCTTTTTTCATTTTCTTTACTTTTCTTGCTTTTTTTTTTCAACACTGCTAATATGTAAACATGTTTCACATTTTTTCACATGTATGATATGTATCATATTGCCTGCCTTCTCAAAGGGTGGGGGAGAGGCTGGGAGGAGGGAGAGAATTTGGAACTCGAAATTTTTTTTTAAAATTTAAAAATTGGAAAAAATTTTTAAAAAGTAAATGGGAGATGAGAAAGTAGAAGTTAGCAAGTATAGACAGCTTTTTTCTAGGAGTTTGTCTGTGAAAGGAAAGAGATATAAGGGTTGATTGACTGAGGAGAGAGTGGCACCAAGGGAAGGTTTTTCCCAGGGACTGGGGAGATCTGGGCATGTCTGGAGGCAGCAAGGGAAGGAGATTGTGGATAAAGAGGACAGTGAACTTTAGAGAAAGAATAAGCTCCCCATGGGTACATGACCTGAAGATTCAAGCTCACACCCTAAAAAAAGGAAGAGAATCAGCTCAATTATCTTCCACAGCTGCAGTGAAGGGCAGAGTTCTTAACCACACAACAGAGGGAGATGAGCATAAAAGACAAAATATATTATTTTGATTGCATAGAACTATAAAAGCTTTTGTAAGCAACAAATTCAATGTAACTAAAACACAAAGGGAAACTGTTAGGGGAGGAAGATATTTTTGCATCAGATGGCTCTGACAAGTGCCTGATGTTGGAAAAGCTGTAGGAAACACACATATATCCATGCACACACTACTGAGGACCAGCATTTCCCAGTAGATATGCCTTCTACCCATTGGTCAAAGGATATAGACACAGTTCTCAAAAGAATGCAAATTATTAACAATCATATGAAGAATAGTACAAATCATTAACAAGAGAAATGGGAATCAAATTAACCCCATGATTTCACTTCACACCTACTCAACAAACTAGGAAGATGATAAAGGATAGAATTAGTTGATATTGGGGTGCTGTGGGAAGATGAGCACAGTAATACACTGTTGGTGGAGCTGTTGAATTGGTCTAGAATTGGAAAGAAATTTTTAACTAGCCAATAAAGTGAGCAAAATATTCATATCACTTGACTCAGAGATCCTACTCACTGCTAGGCATACGCCGAGACAGAGAGACAGAGACAGACAGAGACAGAGAGAGACACAGAGAGACACAGAGAGAAGAGAGAGGAAAAAGGGAGGAGGGATTGAAGGGAAGTCTCATTTATATAACAAAATGTCCTTAGCAGGACTTCTAGCTGTAACATAAAAATGGAAACAGAGTTGGCCCCCATTGATCGAGGAATAGCAGAACAAGTTGCGGTCCATGAAAATAATGTAATATTACTTGACCATAAGAGATAATGAAGAATTCAGAGAAGCCAGGGAAAACCTACATGAACTGAAACAGAGTGAAGGAAGCAAAACTAGAAGAACACACACAAATTAAATGAACAATCAAACAACTGTTGCTGAGAAAATGTCATTTCTCTTCTCTCCATCTCCTCCCCCCCTTCCCTGTGGCAGGGACTGTGCTTACGGAGCACGCACTGTCAGGGCACGGTCCAGGGAGGGTCAGTTTGGCTGAATTGCTCTCCACCCCTCCTATTTTTTTTTTTTTTGGTCTTTGTTGTAAGGGATGGTGTTCTAGGGAGGGAAGGCAGAAGGTGATCTCTGAATCTTGTTACTTGAAAATAATGTTGATCTCAGGACAAAAGATCAATAAAAAAAATAAAGAAGATGAAGGAATGTTGGGCAGTGACAGGAGGGGAAGCTTCTGGAGAAGATGGGCAGGGATGAGCTGACCCAAGAGAATGACTGCCTCCTCCACTGAGCCTAGAGCAGAAGACAATGAGGGGATGAGGCTGGAATTCAAGAGAAGAGGGAGGCTGCCATTCTCACTTCCATTTCTTCAAAGGAGGCACAGGCAGAGTTGTGGTGATAGACGAGAAGGTCTGGGCCAGCAGAGAGGAAGAGGATTGACCTATGCCAGGGAGGACGAAAGGGACATCAAATAAGCCCAGTGTGGAAGGGACCTAGTGCTTAGGTTTGGTACAAGGACCACAGAGAGTGTCCTGTTGAACTGGTAAACTAAAGTGAGGCCAGACCAGCCCAGCACAGCCCAAGGAGGCAGAGAGCATGGAGAGTCTGGAGGTTAGAAAGGGTAAGGCCCAGGGAGAATGGAGGGACAGGAGGCAGTAATTATACAGAAGAAGGTCAATGCTGTGGATGGCCACTGGAGAGATGGAGGTCAAGTTCAAAGGTGGGTCCATACCTGTGGACTGCTGGAGATTGATGCACTGAGGAGCACAGTGAATAAGGGGACATCGCCATGTATGCTGACAGCCCCAATAGAAGGGCAGTGGCTGGGGTGGACAGGAAGCCTGGGAGCATAACCAAAGGGTCGGCTGACAACAGCTACTAGGGTCTGGAAGGCTGGCTGGAGCAAAGCTAGGAGTGGGGTCATAAAGTGAAGGGAAGTAGGGTGGGGAGGCCTGCCATTGTGCCCAGGACCGGCCCAGTGTATGAGAGGGGCATAGGAAGGAGAGAAAGCAGTCTTCATACTAAAGAGCAATGGCCAGGGGACAGCGTCACAGGGGAGGCAAAGGGTCAGAGAGAAGCCCACTTTGTCAGAGGCCAAGAGTCTGTTCCACAGGGTGGATGGGATTGAGGGAATGGGTGTGAAGGTTCAGTCCAAGCAGCTTAACTGGATCCTAAGGAATTCTAACAGGAACCAGATTGGATTGGATTATTTTTCCCTAATTTATTTTCCTTATTTCCTGACCAAGATTAGGGGTGTGTGTGTGAGTGTGTGTGTGTGTGTGTGTGTGTGTGTGTGTGTGTGTGTGTGTGTGAGAGAGAGAGAGAGAGAGAGAGAGAGAGAGAGAGAGAGAGAGAGTGTGTGTGTGTTAGGACAAATGACAAGATTACCCATATAAGAAAACTTGAAAGATGCAATAACAGAAATAACTTATCTCAGGTTCTAAGACCTTGTGACTACTGCGGCTGGGCAGGACAGAGTCAGGGTTATTATCACCAAGCTCCCTGGGCTGAAATGGCAGATGGAAACCCTACAGTCACGTTGGCTGTAACACCAGGCCTGCTCCAAGTGTCCCAGCCTCCTAAAGCCTCCAGAATGACATCGGCCACTATTCCCAAGAGTTTGGCCTAACCATCCACACAGGAAAGACCAAATGGATAAATGATGTTGACCTCCTCCATTATAATTCTGAGTTATCTTGGGAAACGTGCTTAATATATGAAGGAATAACAGTCTTCTTAGGTGTTCCATGGGCCACACATAGTGGGCACCTCTCTGCAAACCCAAGAAAAGAAAAGGCTAAGACTTGGGCAAACCTAGCACAAGACTTGTGCAAATGAAGTAAGGGAGCCCCAGAGAGCCCACCTGGAGTACAGACAGCAACTCCAGGGGGCAGGGCTGGACCGCTGAAGTGGGTGCCAGCAGGGTGCATGGGAGGGCTGGGGTGGGGAGGGTTTGGAGCGAGACTCCCGAAGACCCAATGGCTCCTGAGTTTACACTTCAGCTTCAGAAAGGGAGAGAAGGGGGGAAAGAAAGTTGGCCACAGCAGCTGTAGCTCTGAAATGCGGCTCATATTTTCCATCACGCGTGGGTGCCACGGGGGGGGGGAAGGGAGAAGGGTGCCTGGGGCACAGGCTTGGGAAGAGAGAGAGGGGTTGGCACAGCCCCCACCCCCGTGAGGGCCATGAAGATGGAGGCCCCTCCTGGGGAGGGGTGGGGGCTGAGCTGCCCATCTGGCCCACGCGGGACACTGGTGGGTTGGGATCCCGCTCGGCCTCTCATCTTCCCCACACACCCCACCCCGTCCTTCACCGGGGATCCTGGGGGTCGCAGACGCACCTGTGAGCAACAGCAGGGCTGCGGCGGTGGCGGGGCTCCTGCCCACGCAGGGTCCCCCCCCTGCTCCTCCGGGCGCCCGCAGCATCTTTCTCCTGTCTCGAGCTCGGGCTTAGTCCAGGCTCCTCACTCCACTCGGCCTTGCTCAGCCCCGGCCGGTCGGGCCGGCCTTGCTCTCTGCCTCCTCCTGGTGGTCGCCCTGGACATTGCAGAGCCCCAGCCCGCCCGCCCCGCCCCCGCCAGCCGCCTCTGCAGCAGGCTCCTCCGGCCCCAGGCGGGCGGGGGAAGAGAGGAGCTGCCGCGCCTGCGCGCTAGCTTTCTTCTAGACCGCCCCGCGCTCTGCTCTGCCCAGACGGAGTTGAGTCTTGCCTCGTGCAGTCGCTTCTCCCGACGCTCCTGCTGCCTTCGCCACCCGGACTCCCCAGCCGCTCGCCCGCCCGCTCCCACCGGCGCCTCCCCAGGGGCCGGACCGGCGCCAGCCTCGAGCCGCCACCGCAGGCTGTCCGAGAGCCGGGAGTCCGGTAAGGTGAAGCCCGCTTTAGAGCAGGGCAGCCCCCCAGGCACCGGCCCCCCAGCCAGAGGACCCCCCCCTCCCCTGGCCGGCTGCCGCAACCCCCACACCTCTATTTCTTCATTCACTCAAAGGGCAGAAATTTGACGCCTACTGCGTCAGGGCTGGTGGGTGGTCTAAGGGGGCTCAGCCGCTGCAGGGTATAAGGGGCGGACATCCAGAGGATCCTGAAAAGATACAAAGTAACTTTGCTAGGGGAAGACGGCTCCTTTAGCTGAGCTGGGAAAAAAGCTAAGCGAGAAAAGAGAAAGGGTGGGAGAAGGGGAGGGAGGGAGGGAGACCAGGAGGCTGTTCGGGCTCTTAAGGAGCCAGGACAAAGGTGTGGGGGTTAGGCTTTGCGGTGTCCAGAATAGGAAACCGTAAGAAGGCTCTTCCGCCGAAAGGTAGATTAACACCACCCCAGCCCTTGCGAAGGGCTTTCAAAGCCAGATCAGACATTGGTCTCAATGGAAGGGGCGATAGAAAGCCTCTGGAGCTTGGGGAGGGGGGGGTGGGGGGGTTGAACACGTAAGACCTGTGCCTCACTTGGGCAGCTGTGTGGAAGACTGGGGGGAGACTGAGCGCATTGCGGTAGACCAGGTGAGTGATGATCCGGGAGAGGGGCAGGTGAGTGATGAAAATGCGGAGAACAGATAGGAGGGGGGAGGGGGAAATGACCAGACTTTAAAACAGACTGAAGAAGAGTCTGATGAGCCAGGTTATATACCTGGAAGAGAGGTGTGAAGCCCCCCAGGAAAGTTCAGAAAAGGGAAAAGGGCTGGAGGCGGGCGTGAGAATGAATGCTCTTAGGCGGTTGGTGATGTAGATTCAGGCTGGTTTTATTGATCTGAAGGTCATCAGCTTAATAGCTGGACCTTTGGGAGCTGGGGAGATCCCTGGGAAAGGGTGTAGATTTAAGAAGGGTCCGAGACAGAGCGGGGGGGGGGCATCTAGCTTAGGGGTGGGGGTGGGAAAGAGAAATTGGAACTGCGTCGAAAATCTGGGTGGAAAAGCTGCAGTAGACAGGTGGGCGGGACCCCGCCAGGAGGGGTGGGGGTGGTCTGCAGAGCAAATACCGCATAGACCAGGAAGTGAGGAGCCAGAAAAGGCGCTGGGACTTGGCTGTTCGAGATTGGAGGAGGGGGAGAGGGGAGGGGGGATGGGCGGGCTCCAAGTGCTGCATTGGCGTCACAGAAGGGTACGCCAATGCGGCTTTGCGGTAGCTCGCGCTTCACGGCTGGGGCCTCAGTTTCCTCTTCTGTAAAATGAGGGGAATTTAGCTGATCGCTAAGGCTCCGACTGGCCCAAAATCTGTGGGGTAAGGTTTGGAAGAAGCCATGCGGGCACAGGTAATTAGGTAAGAAGAAATGGTTCAGTGGCGGAGGCGGCGGTAGACCGCCTCCCCCTCCCTTGGGTGCTCTCTGCCGCACTAGGGAGGGGCATCACCTCTGACGGCTGAGGACTAGCCCCGCCCTCTGCCGCCCCCAGAGCAGCCCCCTCCCTTTCTTTTTTCCTCCCCCCTCCCTGCGGACCACTCTGCAGATGCGGAAGCGTCCAATGCGGACCCTTGTTCTCCCACCCTTCCAGCCCCGCCTCACCTCTGGGGAGCTGACAGCTACTGCAGCCCAGTCCCCTCCCCTCAATACTGCAGTGCCCCCCCCAGCCTGCCCACTTCCGCCTTGGACCCCTCAGCCGCAGTGCCCATCCCTTTCTCCCTAGCCCAAGAAGGGGGGGTCCATGCCCCGCCCCCTCCTCTGCAGTCTGCCATCCTTGGACCACCGCAGGGGAGGAGCAAAGGCTGCGGGATGGAGATGGGGAGACTGATGCCCCGGAAGTGGGCCGGCCCCTGGCTCTGCCCCCGCTGCCGCAGCCCCTGCGGACCCCACCCGATTTCTGCAGCAGACCGCCTGCTGCGCCATCGCCAGCCTGGTCCCGCCCCCCAAACCGGCCAACCACCAAGACCCCCGTGTAGCCACGCCAGCCCTGCCTCCGCTAAGCAGAGGGACTGCAGTCCAGACGCAGGGCGCCCCCTCCCCTCCGCACTCACTGCAGTCCAGCAGCCCCTCCCTGCGGCTGCCGGGGTTGCCCAGCTCCATCCTCTGCTCGAAGCATACACTGAAGAGTAGCCTAGCGTCCTACCTGTTGGTGCCGCAGGTCCCCCCACACACACATACTTCGCTTACCCCTCCCAAGCTGGTCCAGCCACAAGACCCCCACCCTTACAAATTAGACTTTACTGCTGGTTAATGTGGAATAATCTCAAGCCCTCGCCTCATTACTAGAGCCCCCCTCCCTTACAACCTTGCCTTTATGGTAGTTCCTGGATCCAATCTCAAGCCCCCTTCCCATTACTACAGCCCCCCCTTACAACCTCACCTTTATGGTGGTTCCTGGATCCAATCTCAAGCCCCCTCCCCATTACTACACCCCTCCTTACAACCTCGCCTTTATGGTGGTTCCTGGATCCAATCTCAAGCCCCCTCCCCTTATAACCTCGCCTTTATGGTGGTTCCTGGATCCAATCTCAAGCCCCCTCCCCATTACTACAGCCCCCCCTTACAACCTCACCTTTATGGTGGTTCCTGGATCCAATCTCAAGGCTCCCCCCCACAACCCCCTTACAACCTCACCTTTATGGTGGTTCCTGGATCCAATTTCAAGCCCCCTCCCCATCACTAGAGTCCAGCCCCTTCTTCTATACACCTTAATCTCTACCTTGGTTTCTGTATTCTAGCTTCAAACTTCCTTCATATCTCCATAGATATAGGCCAGGGCCTCCACCCTCCCCCCCCACCAAAAATACAATCCCCTCAACCTTCATCCAAAACCCCAAAAAACAAATAAAATCTAGATTGTAACCTGATTAAAAGAACCCAGCCTTTACCCTTTCTCAGGTATACCCCATCCCCCCTCACCTGCCCCTTCACACTGCAGTCTCCTAGCCTCAGAGCCCCTCCCCATCACTTTAGAGTCACCCCCTGCCCCCGAATATTTCCTTCATTGCTACAGTCCCATAGACTCAACCCCCCTCTCCATTTGTTCATATTTTAACCCCTCCAAACAATCTAAGCTTATTACTACCTCTAGGGTTAGGGTTCTCGAAGCCCTGCCCCTATCTCTTAGCATGTTACCCCCTTCCACAATCTCCCCTCATTACATCCAGCACTCTCCCCATCTCCTTATGATCTACCCCCGAAAAGCGACCCCTCATTACCACAGGTCTCTAATCTCAGACACCTTCCCCATTTAAGATTTAAGCTCCCCCAGACTAGCATCACCTCCCCTCATCTCTTGGTATTCTGCCATCCCCCATCCTCCACACATTACTGGGGTCCTGTAGACTCAAAGCTCCCCCATCTATTTGCAGTCTAGAACCCCCCAACTCTTTGCTATAAATCTCTAGCCACCAATCCTCTCCCCATCTTTTTAATATCTAGCCCCCCGAACTTACCCCCATTTAGTTCAGTCTTATAGACTGAAACCCCTCCCCACAATATACCCTCATTAGAGAACTCCTCAGGGTTAGGGTTAAGATTAGCAAAGCTCCACCCCCATCTAATAACACATTGGCCCACATAAACCCTCCCTTCATTACAAGAAGTCCTTAGGGTTAGGCTTAGCAAAGCCCCACCCCCATCTCATAACTCACATTGCCCAATACCCTCCCCATTACAAGAAGTCCTTAGGGTTAGGTTAGCAAAGCCCCACCCCATCTCATAATCATTCCCCAATACCCTCCCCTCATTACAAGAAGTCCTTAGGGTTAGGTTAGGTTAGGGGTACAAAGCCCCACCCCTCTCATAACACATTCCCCACATACATCCTCCCCTCATTACAAGAAGTCCTTAGGGTTAGGGTTAGGGTTAGCAAAGCCCCACCTCCCTCTCATAACACATTCCCCCACATACACCCTCCCCTCATTACAAGAAGTCCTTAGGGTTAGGGTTAGCAAAGCCCCACCTCCGTGTCATAACACATTCCCCACATACCCTCCCCTCATTACAAGAAGTCCTTAGGGTTAGGGTTAGCAAAGCCCCACCCCATCTCATAACACATTTCCCACATAACCCTCCCCTCATTACAAGAAGTCCTTAGGGTTAGGTTAGGTTAGCAAAGCCCCACCCCATCTCATGACACATTCCCCCACATACACCCTCCCCTCATTACAAGAGTCCTTAGGGTTAGGGTTAGCAAAGCCCCACCTCCATGTCATAACACATTTGCCCACATATGCCCTCCCCTCATTATAAGAAGTCCTTAGGGTTAGGGTTAAGGTTAGCAAAGCCCCACCCCCATCTCATAACTCATTCCCCCCCATACATCCTCCCTGCATTACTAGAAGTCCATAGGGTTAGGGTTAGCAAAGCTCCACCCCCACCTCATAACATGTTCCCTCACATACATCCTCCCTGCATTACCACACTCCTTTAATCTCAAATTCCCTCACTATTTTGGGGTACTTTAGCCCCTCCTTACAATCTACTTCGTTACTGCAGGCATCCCACATCAATACCTCCGCCCTCCCATATCCCCAGTACTGTGGCTGTTTTGTCTCAAACCCCATCCCCATTTCATTTTTTATCTTTCCCTGCCTTACACCAACCCTCAGTGGGTCTTCTGACCCCAAGCCCCTTCCTCTTCACTTTAAAATCCAGCCACACCCACAGCCTCCTTTCCTTATTACAGGGTTCTAATATCAAACTCAACTTCTTTTTTTAATCTAGCTCTCCCAACCTACCCTCATTACTATAGTTTTCTATCCTCAAACTTCCTCCCTCCCGATTTATTATCTAGCCCCACCCAAAACCTATCCTAATTACTGTGGTCTTATAGAATCAACCCTCCTCTCCATCTCATTAAACTTTAGCACCCCCATAAACCACCGGCATTGCTACAGTGTCTTATCTTCAAGCCCTCCCCATCTCTTTATAATCCAGCCTTCATCCCCACCTCCTCCTCTCAATACTACTCAATCTCACAGTCCCTCCCCATTTTTTAATATTTCAGCCTCCCCAACTTACTCACCTCACTACAGATCTCTAGAATCACACCCTCCCCCCTCTTTTAATATTTTGATGCCCCTCCCACAATCTGCCCTCATTACTATGGTCCTCTAGAAGCAAATCTCCTTCCCAGCTCATTAAAGTTTAGGGTTAGGGTTAAGGGGTACCACTAACCCTAACTCTACCTTTGCAAATGAAGTCTTATAGCCTTACCCCCTTCCCAACCTCTTTATTATCTAGCCCCATCCCCAGCCTATCCCCATTACTTCAGTCCTATAGCCTGAAACCCACCCCCAAAACCTACCCTATTTATAAGAAGTTCCTAGGATTAGGGTTAAGGTTAGCAAAGTCCCCCCCAATCTCTGACCATGTTACCCCCTCCCACAATCTCCCCACATGGTCATCTTGCCTCAAAACCCCTCCCCATTTCCTGTCCCCCTGTTCCACCTACCCCCACTGGATCTTCTGCCCTCAAGCCCCCTTCCCTTGTTTTTATAATCTGGCCCCCTCCCCCATATCTTGCTTTCATTACTACTGGCCTTGAATCTCAATCTCACTTCCCTTTTTAAAAAGTAATCCCCCCACAACTTACCCTCATTTAAATAATTTTCTATCCTCAAATGCCGCTCCCTCCCTATTTATTATCTAGCCCCCCTCACAACCTACCTTAATTACTACAGTCGTCTGATCTCAGACCCCCACCCCAGGTCTTCAGACTCTACCCCCATAACCCTAACCCTAATTGCTATAATCTCCTAACCTCAAGCCCCGCATCTCTACATAATGCAGCCTCCCCAATCTTATACCCCCTCCCCATTTTTAATATCTAAGCCCCCCTCACAACCTATTCACTTTACTACAGATCTCTAGAATCAACCCCACCCATCTTTTAATATTCTCATGCCCCTCACACAACCTGCCCTCATTACTATGGTCCTCTAGAAGCAAATCCCCTCCTCAGCTCATTAAAGTTTAGGGTTAAGGGTTACTACTAACTCTAATGCTACCCCTGTTTGTAGCCTCACTCCCATGCTATTCTCTTTCTTATCTAGCCCCTACACTGCCACCATTACTTCATTCCTATAGTCTGAAAGCCTCTCCCCGTAAATCCCACAACCTATCCTCTTTACAAGAAGTCCCCAGGGTTAGGGTTAGCAAAGCACCAGCCCCATTTTTTAAACCCAACCTCCCCTCCCACAACCTGCCCTCATTACTATGGTCCTCTAGAAGCAAATCCTCTCCCCAGCTCATTAAAGTTTAGGTTTAGGATTAAGGAGTACCAAAAAAAAATTTAAAAATTAAAAGGATTAAGGGGTACCACTAACCCTTGCTACTGAAGTCTTATAGCCTCACCCCCTTCCCAACCTCTTTATTATCTAGCCCCATCCCCAGACTACCCCCATTACTTCAGTCCTATAGCCTGAAACCACCCTCCCCAAAATCTACCCTATTTACGAGAAGTCCCTAGGGTTAGGGTTAAGGTTAGCAAAGCCCCAACCAGTGTCTTACCATGTTACCCCCTCCCACAATCTCCCCACATGGTCATCTTGCCTCAAACCCCCTCCCCATTTCCTGTCCCCCTGTTCCACCTACCCTCACTGGATCTTCTGCCCTCAAGCCCCCTCCCCTTGTTTTTATAATCTGGCCCCCTCCCCCATATCTTGCTTTCATTACTACTGGCCTTGAATCTCAATCTCACTTCCCTTTTTAAAAAGTCTAATCCCCCCACAACTTACCCTCATTTAAATAATTTTCTATCCTCAAATGCCACTCCCTCCCTATTTATTATCTAGCCCCCCTCACAACCTACCTTACTACAGTCATCTGATCTCAGACCCCCACCCCAGGTCTTCAGACTCTACCCCCATAACCCTAACTGCTATAATCTCCTAGCCTCAAGCCCCCCATCTCTACATAACGCAGCATCCCCAGTCTCACACCCCCTCCCCATTTTTAATATTTCAGCCCACCCTACAACCTACTCACCTTACTAAAGGTCTCTAGAATCACCTCTAGAATGCCATCTTTTAATATTTTGATGCCCCTCCCACAACACTCCTGTAGCCTGAAACCCCCTCCCTACAAACCCCACAACCTACCATCATTGCAGGAAGTCCCCAGGGTTAGGGTTAGGGTTAGCAAAGCCCCACCCCCATCTCATAACTCATCCCCCCCCATACATCCTCCCCTCATTACTAGAGGTCCTTAGGGTTAGTATTAGGGTTAGGGTTAGCAAAGCTCCACCCCTACCTCATAACATGTTCCCTCACATACTTCCTCCCTGCATTACCACACTCCTTTAATCTCAAATTCCCTCACCATTTTGGGGTACTTTAGCCCCTCCTTACAATCTACTTCATTACTGCAGGCATCCCACATCAATACCTCCGCCCTCCCATATCCCCAGTACTGTGGCTGTTTTGTCTCAAACCCCATCCCCATTTCATTTTTTATCTTTCCCTGCCTTACACCAACCCTCAGTGGGTCTTCTGACCCCAAGCCCCTTCCTCTTCACTTTAAAATCCAGCCACACCCACAGCCTCCTTTCATTATTACAGGGTTCTAATATCAAACTCCTTTTTTTAATCTAGCTCTCCCAACCTACCCTCATTACTATAGTTTTCTATCCTCAAACTTCCTCCCTCCCGATTTATTATCTAGCCCCACCCAAAACCTATCCTAATTACTGTGGTCTTATAGAATCAACCCTCCTCTCCATCTCATTAAACTTTAGCACCCCCATAAACCACCAGCATTGCTACAGTCTCCTGTCTTCAAGCCCTCCCCATCTCTTTATAATCCAGCCTTCATCCCCACCTCCTCCTCTCAATACTACTCAATCTCACAGTCCCTCCCCATTTTTAATATTTCAGCCCCCCCAACCTACTCACCTTACTACAGACATCTAGAATCACACCCTCCCCCCTCTTTTAATATTTTGATGCCCCTCCCACAACTTGCCCTCATTACTATGGTCCTCTAGAAGCAAATCCCCTCCCCAGCTCATTAAAGTTTAGGGTTAAGGGTTACCACTAACCCTAATCTATGCATGTTTATAGCCTCACTCCCATCCTGTTCTCTTTCTTATCTAGCCCCCCCCAGTCCGCCCCCATTACTTCAGTCCTGTAGCCTGAAAACCCCTCCCCACAAACCCCACAACCTGTCCTCATTAGAAGAAGTCCCCAGGGTTAGAGTTTAGGGTTAAGGTTAGCAAAGACCAGCCCCATTTTTTAAACACAATCCCCACCTCCCACAACCTGCCCTTATTACTATGGTCCTCTAAGAAGCAAATCCCCTCCCCAGCTCATTAAAGTTTAGGGTTAAGGGGTACCACTAACCCTAACTCTACCCTTGGTAATAAAGTGTTAAAGCCTCACCCCCTTCTTATTATCTAGCCCTGCCCCCAGTCCAGCCCCATTACTTCAGTCCTGTAGCCTGAAACACCTCCCCAGAACCTACCCTCATTACAAGAAGTCCCGCCTCTCTCTACATTCCCCCTCCCAGGCCATACCCTTATAGTGCAGCCACCCTGCCTCCTCCCCTCAACATTACAGCTCTCTGGCCTCAAACCCCACCTCATCTCTTTAGAGTGGCCCACACCTGACTCCCATTGCTGGAATTCTCTATTCCCCAACCTGTTCCCCATTACATTAGAGTCAGCCCCACTCCTCACCTTGCTGATACCTCCTCTAGCCTCAGCTCCCTGTCTCTTTATGATACAGCCCCCACTTCCCCCAACCTCCCTCCATTATTATTGTCCTCTGTCCTCAAACCCCCTCCCTGCCCATTTGTCTACACTGCCACCCCTTTTCTCATTACCACACTCCTCTAATCTCAACACCCCGAATTTTTAAATATTTGAACCCCTCCTGACAACCTATCCTCATTACTTGTAGCTGGCCTCCAGCCCTCTTCCCTTCTCCTTACAATCTCACCCCCAAAAGCTACCCACTTACTACAGGCCTCTAATTTTACATGCCCTCCCCATTTTTAAGATTTCGTGTCTTAATATTCTGCTGTAGTCTTGCAGACTCAAAGCCTGCCCCCCCAACCTACTCTCATTGCTACAGTCCTCTTGCCTCCCCTCTCCTCCCCATCTCTTTATAATTCAGTCCCTCAACATCCTCCTCTCATTACTAAACTCTAATCTCAGGCCCCCTCCTCACAGCCTTCTTCATTACTGCCGGCCTTCATCTCTTAATATTCTACCCCCTCCCCCAAGGTACCATTGTAACTGTCGTCATCCTGCCTCAAACCCCCTCCCCATTTCCTTCTCAGCTGTCTCCTTCAGCCTACCCACAATGCTGGAGTGTTCTGCCCTCAAGCTCCCTCCTCATCTCTTTATAATCTACCCCGCCAAACCCACAAGCTAATTTCATTGCTCCAGTCTTCTCACCTGAAAGCCTGCCTCTAATTCTTTATAGTCCAACTGACCCCCACAAGCCACCCTCATTACTGCAGGCTTATATTCGCTAACTCCTTCCCTATCACTGGAGAGTCAATCCCCCCCATCCTCCCCTCCTGACTATTGTCCCATAGACTCAACCCCCCTCCCTATCTAAAGTCTAGCCCTACCCTTAACTCTTTACTACAAATCTCTAGCCTCTAACCCTGTTCTCCATCTCTTTATCATCTAGCCCCCCTCCCTCCTATCTCAGTCTTCTGCCAATGGAGACCCCTGGTAATACTGACCTCCTGGAGCCTCCCAGCCCCTCCCCCACTCTTTGAGTCCACTCCCTCCAAAGTCGTTTCTCTGATCACTTTTCTGTCTCTCAGGTGCCCGAGATCAGCTGTGGCATGTGCCCCAGACCTGCTCCTCTCCATGTCTCCTCAGTGCATCTTTACTAGCTGACATTCTCTCTGTCTTCCTTATTCACAGGCACCAGTATCTTTGGAATTCCTCAAGCAGACAGTAGAATCTACAAGTGCTGAGCCTAAGCAAGCCGCCGGATCTGGGAGTCGTGTCAGACCAGACCCCCCACCCTGGGGTGGGGGGGAGGGCTCCCAGAGGAGGCGGTCCGAACCTGGACCACCTCTGCCCAGACTCCAGGCCCGTCGGACTCCGCCAGCCAGAGAATGTCCTGATTGCATCCCATCTGGCACAGAATCATTGAGGGCTGCCAGGGGACTTTGGCTGAAACTTCAGCTGACTGACTGACCCTGGGCCTCACGGCCCCCTCTTCTCATTGGCAGTGGACTCTCAGACGGTAGGACCTCTCCTTGGCCTGTTTGATCTCTCCCTGAGGCTCCCAGGCCTCCCCCTACCTCCCCCTTGGCTGTTGCCTCCACCCACTCTAGTCTGACTGAGCCCCTCCCCCGGGCTTCTTTGACCCTGCTTGCCCTGACTCCCGGGATCTTGTAGTATGCCAACTAGCACCGGTTCGGGTGCTTCAGCCCGCCGCTGCAGGATGGAGGACCTCACGGCAGAGGTCCAGGCCCTACGGGCCCAGCTCCTCCAACAGACCGAGGAGAACAGCTCCCTGCAGACCCAGCTCCTCCAGCTGTCCGAGGAAAACGCCAACCTGCGGGGCCAGCTCCAGGCCACACCGGTGGGCGCCATGGGCCTCTCTGCCCCTCGTGGCAAATGCCCCGTCGGCCTCCCCGAGAAGTTTGATGGGACCCCCGAGATGCTCCCCAGCTTCTTGGCCCAGAGCCGCCTGTACATGGAACTGCGGCCTGAAGATTTCCCCACGGAGCACGTGCGAGTGTGCTTCCTCACCAGCCTCCTCAAGGGGCGTGCGGCCCGCTGGGCCACCCCCTACCTGCTAGAGTCCAGCCCTCTGCTAAACAACTACGAGGCCTTCATTGATGAGTTCAAGCAGGCCTTCGAGGACCCCCAGCGGAAAGAGGCCGCCAACCGCAAGATCCGGCGTCTCCGCCAGGGCCTCGGCTCCGTGCTGGACTACGCCAGCGCTTTCCGTCTCTGCGCCCAGGACCTGGACTGGAACGAGCCCGCCTTCATCGACCAGTTCCTGGAGGGCCTCAGCGACCCCATCCAGGACGAGCTCGCCCGCGTGGAAGTGGCCCGCTCGCTGCCCGCGCTCATCAACCAGTGCCTGCGCATTGAGGGCAGGCTGAATTCTCGGAGGGGGGCGTCTCCCACTGGCTCGCCCCGGCCCCAGAGCGCCGCGTCTCCCCAGACCGAGTCCGAATCGAACCAGCTCATCGCCCGGCCCCAGCTGACCCCGGAAGAGAGGGAGCGCCGCCGAAGACTGAACCTGTGCATGTACTGCGGGCTGGCCGGCCATTACGTGGACAACTGTCCATCCAAGAAGCCAAAGTCTTCTGGGGTGGGAAACTCCCTGGCCCCGCTGTAGAGGGACCCCCAGCGCCCGGGCCTGAACCAGAAAGGTCCCCCCCAGATGACGCGTCATCTTCTCACTTGCAACTACTGATCACGCTACATCTCCCGGATGGCTCCTACTGTACTGTCCGCGCCATGATTGACTCCGGTGCCTCTGGCAATTTTATAGACCAAGATTACGTCGCACAGACTGGAATCCCAGTAAAGATCAAGTATTGGCCGGTGCTGGTGGAAGCGATTGACGGACGTCCCTTGGCCTCTGGCCCAGTGACCCAGGAGACCCAGGAGCTGGTGGTAGACATTGGGGAGCACCGCGAGAGGCTCTCTTTCGATGTGACCCAGTCCCCCTTCTTCCCGGTGGTTCTGGGGGTGCGGTGGCTCACCCAGCACAACCCTTCCATCATGTGGAGCTCCCGCACCATCGTTTTTGACTCGGAGTATTGCCAGCACAATTGTCGGGCCGCCCTGCTGATGGCGCCGAGCATGGTCCCCGGAGGAATGGATGTCCAGGAGGTCCTCATGCCGATGGCCCAGGAAGCTATCCCGTACCACGCGCAGTACAACTATGCCGTGGCCCCCGCCGCCTACCCCTATGCGGTGTCGGACCCGGAACTGATGGCTGTCCGAGACTTCCTGGCCAAGAACGTGAAATGGGTTTGTGTCCAGCCGGCCTCCCCAGTGGGGGCCCCCGTTGTCATCATGAAGAAAGTGGGAGAGCTGTATCTTTGCAACGATTCTCAAAACCCAAATGCCATCGCTGTCTGGAACCAGTATCCACCACCTTCGGCTCCTTACATATTGTACCAGCTCCAAGCGGCCCCCATCTACAGGACCAGGTCCCCGGCAGGTTACACCACCTGGTCCATGTTGGGAAGGGAAATGAATGGAAAACTCTGCTTGATTCCCTTCCTGATCACCTCCAACATCCGCTGATGCTGTCCGGCTTTCGCAACGCATACTCCCATTTCAGCAGTCTCAGCAAGATGTTTTGTGACCACCTCATTCATCACCACATGGCTATGGAGCTGACCATATAGACTGCAGTCTATCTAGACTCCGAACTGGCTTCCCAGATGCCAGCTGTACATTAAATTAGAGAAGTGTGTCATCAGCCTCATTCGTGTGAATCTCCTGGGGAAATCTTCCCCCCCCCCCCCTTGGAAGGCATCCAGATGGACTCTCTCTCACTGGGTCAGTGGTGTCCTGGACTGGCATCTTCCCCATGACACCTGGGGCCTTAAGGACTGTCCAGCAGCTGCAGCAACTCATTGGCTTCTTTGCCTCATTTGATAGCTCTTTTAGGAAGCATGGGACTTTCCACGCAGACACTGAAAGCCCCAGAGACATTGATCTACACTCTGACCTCAGTTTCACGCTTCTAGGACGGCCATTCCTCATACTTTCTAGAAACTGATGCCTCACACATGGCCTTTGGGATAGCCCCCTCCCAGGCAAGGGGAGAAGCAGGGCCACTTTGCCTCTGTCCCTCTTTATTTCACAAGCTTAGCAACATTAAAGTCCATTCGGCCCCCTGGAAGAAAACCGCCAGTGATTGAAGCTGCCTTTGCCTCCGGGTGACAGAGCCTAGAAGAGACCGTATGCCTAAACATGTGATATGTTGCCAGAATTGGTAACATCTACCAGCTCCACGAAATCAGGACCAGCAATTAGCATACTGGTCCCTTTTTGGTGTGATCATCCAGATCAGCGCACCCCCCAGTCCCTAGAGTGAGAGGACGGCCCCTGCCTGCCGCAACACCCCCCTCCAGCCGGGGCCACTTGACTGCCACCTATACGCTTGGCCCTTTCCCGGCTTCTAGATCAATCTGGCCTCAAGGCAGGAGGCCCCTGAAAACCCACCATGCTGTACAGAAGATTGTGGGTCACGTGACCCAGCATCACCCCCTTTCCTGCTGGTCCTCATATGACCTTGTATACTACTGCCAGCACTGAATCTCCCTCCCCTGTGTCCAAGCTCTCTTTGCATCCTATCCTATTTCTGAGGTTCCCAGGCCCTGGGATCCTGCCTTATTCTTTCTGGTCCTCCTGGGGACTGGACGTCTGTTTCGTGCCCCCGCCCTGGGACAGAGCCCCCGCTGCCGGAAGCCAGCCTCCACCAGTTTTCTGGACCACCCTGCCGTGGCCCACTTTGGAACCTCCCTCATGAAAATTTTAGGACAGCAGATTGCCAGCGAGGTGGGAGGGAAGCATTTCCCCTGGATGGCAGATCTCTGACGATGGAGGGCACTTCCTTGTGAGGGAGTGAGCTGCCTATCACTGGAGGAAGTCAAGTGGAGGCTGGATGAACCTTTGTTGGGGTTGCTCTTGGGGGGATTGGTTTTTAGACTGAGGGCCTTCCAACCCTCTGCTGCTTGACTGCGTGAAGCTCCTCCCTGACGCTCGCTGCTGTGCTCCTCAGAGGAGAGCTTGCCGGCCTCCCCGAGGCTAGTCTGGCTCCTGGCCAGCCCTGATTGGGCCTTCCCGCTGCTCCTGAAGCCCCTGTGGGGGCTTGCTTCCATCATGGCGAGCGGGCCCCAAACATCTGAGGCCCCGGTCGGGAGGGTCTGGAACCCCTTTCCCAGCCCACTGGCCATTATCATCCCATAGGGCAGAGCGTCCACGCCAGTAGAGGAGTGAGAATCCACATCTTAGGAGATGGCCAGACCATCCCTGCTCTGCCCCAAGGTCCACTCCCCACACCTTCCTAAGCGGCCTTTGCAACTTCTGCCAGGCCCTGCCCCTGGCTCCCCAGATCAAAGTTGTTGTCCACTTCCAAGCCTTTAGTAAGAATCCCAGAGCCAGGAGACACTGTGCCAGTCGGTGTCAGTGTACCCAAATCCGTTTGAGTAGACATTGGAGCCAGAAATGCGCCCCACTACTCCCTAACGAGTGCCCTTAATTTTCCTCGTCCCTCGAAGAATCCTCAGCCCAAATCCCCAATCGGCCGAGCTGGCGTAGCGAAGGAACCGGTGCTCGGAAGGGTGACTGGAGGAGCCTTGGGCCCCGCCATGCTTGAAGAGTCCATTCCTACGCCCCAATTTCCAACCTTAGCTCCAGAGCCTGGCTCCAGTATTCTTGAGCCCAACGATGATGTGTTCCCTCCCTCCCCAAATTAGAGCTTCAGATCTGGCTGTTTATTAGGGCCCCAGAACCAACTAGAGTATTCCTAGAGTTCACCCGGGTGAAACCACTCCCCACTGGCTTGGTCACTCTGCCTCATCTCCAGGTCATACGCATTCCCAGTCTGTCCATCCATTTGCCATTGAGCCCCAGGACGGAAGAGAAGGCTAACCCCTCCCCTTAGGGGAGCTAGAATTCCCAGTAGAGGAGGTTCCCTCAGCCTCGCACCCACCCCTGCTTCCATCTTGTCAGCCTGCCCGCCGGCAGCAGCAGCAGCAGCAGCAGCAGCAGGAGGAGGAGGAGCTCCAGGCCGCGAAGCACCTGTGGTCTGGGGCCATATGCTCATCCCGAGGTGCTCTTGCGCATTCGGTCGTGCCTTTATGCCCCATCGGGGAGCGCACGGACCCAAGTCCTCTGGCTCTGTCATTACCCCCGTGGTCTCACAGCCAGGGGCTGGGGTGGCCTCGACCAGGAGGCCATGTGCGTTACTTTGTGTGACCACCTGCAAGATGTGCCAGGACTCTGACAAACTGGACAGGCAAGCTGGGGGCCCCCACCCTTCACCTGAATCCAAAAGCACTGGGCTCTGGCATCTAGGGATTGCATCACCAACCAGCCAGTGGCCCAGTGGTTCACCGCTGTTTTTCGTAATTGTGGGTGCTCTAACAATACTTGACTTACAAGAAATCTACGGTGCAAGGATGTTTGTTGGGGCCCACTCTCTCTGCCTGTACCCCACATCTTGCCAGAATGTTCTGCTATCAATATTTCTGCTCTACCTGGTCCATGTGAACCACCAAAGGATTCATGGGAGGGGGGCATTTTAGGACCCAGGAAGAGGACCTTAACCAAGACTTGCCTGCCCTCTCTCTGGAGCTGTATCCAGCTGTCTCCCCCGGAGCCTCCAAGCTGGCTCCAGGGTCAGACTTGGATACCAGCTGAAACACTCATCAAGTGTTATCCATGATCATTCCCCCCTTCAGAGAGATCAGAGACTGCACCCAGGCAGCCCAGATGCTCTCGAGGGGGCAAAGCCCACCAGCTTGTCTTAGGCTGACCAGGAAAAGCTCCCCAAAGCCACAGAAGGCTCGGAGCCACGCCGGGCGCTCCCGTGGGATGTCTGCGCATTGCTCGCCTGGACAGCCGCGTGCCGCCTTTCGCCTGGTCTCTCGAATCAGTCGTCTCCAAAGTGCTCGACTTTGCTGGACTCTCCCTCGCTTCTTGTGACCCCTGCTGACTGTGTGCTGTTCAGCTTTGCCACCTCTTCTAGCTCTTGTGTCCACCCGCTGTGGCTGCCGTGAGTCCTCCCTATCTGTCCAGCAAAAAGGAGAGCAGAGACAGGCCCAAGGGACGTGAATTAGCACGCACACAAATCAAGTCTCTGATTGCCAAATTTCACAATACAGAACATTCTGTATGTTGCAAACTGCCTATGAGGAAGAGACGTCGGTCGATAGGTCGATAGCGTGAATTCTCATTCTTCACAAACATTGTCCTATGCTTATCTCCGCGTGCCCTCCTCGGTGCTGCATGTCCCAATGTGTAATCCTTGTTGGTTGTGTTGTTGTAACCGTTTGTGAAGCAGCTGCCCCCCCCATCACACTGCCACTAAATCAATTTTTAATGTCAGAGAGTTTTGCCAAGTACAAAGTGTGCCAGGGTGTGTCTCAGTATGGTGACAGTTGTCCCTTGTTCGAGTATGTCTAAGTGGTAGGAGGTATTCCGAAGGGATCGCACAAACATCCCGAGTGAACAGCAGTTCGTATCTCTGCCGATGTAGTTCAAGATTCGGAACCGCCAGCGGGTGGGTTCCACCGGTCGTGCGTCGTCTTTGAGCAGTGGAACAGTGAACCAAGGGGAACTGAGTGAGTTAGGAACTGCCGGATGAGGGTTGGGTGGGATCCTGAAGCAGCTAGCCAACAGTCTGTGCATCGTCCAGCGCTGGGACGCTGACGGAGGAGTGTTTGCAAAAGGATTAGTTACC